GTTTCTAGTAAGTCGGTTTCTTTATTAATATTGTTTGGATCAATTTCTCGTTTCGAAACTTCTTGAACGGTAGTGGCTATTGTTGTTCTGTATGCGTGCTAGTCTAATTTTTTCATGTTCCATTTGTTGTTAGATTTGCTTTATGATGATGGAATAGAATCCAAGTAGGTAACTTTTATGAGGAAGTGGTCGCTATCATGGAGATTTTGTAAGGGTTCCCATTCTAAGTGATGAGATAGTCTACTACTACATAGCGTTAAATCTATCGCACTTAATTTCTGTACTTACTGTAAAATGGGTTGAGAGACCTGAATTGAGTAAGGTAAAATCTGGGTCCTCTAATTGTTTTTCAATATTTTTCCCACGGTTATCTATTTTATAAGAGCCACAAAGGTAGTGGGTGACTATTGAAGTCGCCCAATAATACGAATGGTGTTGGAAATTGATTTGCAAGTGTTTCTAGGTCGACCAAATTTAGGGTTTGGCTATTTGGTAAGTCTATATTACATAGGTGAATTTTGCTTGGAAATTCCGTAACTGCAATTGCTTCTAGGTTTGTAATTAGCGGAATTTCGAAGGCATCGAATTGTTTAGATACCGCGATGAATACTCCTTTGCGTGATTTTCGCAATCTCTGTTTTGCTGAACGTAGTATATTTTTTAAGTCCTGGATGTTGATGTTTCTTAAAGTTTGTTGATGTTTCTTACAGACAATGAATAATTGAGTTATATTGTTTTAGAACTGTATCTGTAGTTTATGGTGTGGGTAAAAGCCGTTTATGTTCCACTGAATTACATGTTTCATTTGTATTTAGGAGGAATCACTCTCTATTTCCAATGACAAACTAGTAATTGAATTTTCTGATGGGTCTGGATTATTTTTGTGGAGTCTATGTGTTCTATTTTTCCAGATACGGTCTTTGAGTAAAGGATGAATCTTTGTTCGTATTTCGGGCAGGGCTAGGGTATTGGTCGTGTATGTTTTTGCGATTTCTATAGGGTTTGGTGCTGTAATCTCATTTTTTAGGAAACTTTTAAACTGAATATAATTTAGTATGTGGTTGTAGTTTTTATCTTCAATGTAGTTTTTGGCTGGTTCTAGTATATCATCAATTTTACCCAGAGTAAATGCGGAAAATAGGGGACATTTAGGTTTCTTAGAAGTTGGATTAGACTTCTTGTGTGGTTTTTTGGTAAATTTTGGGTTAGACGACACTTTACGAACAGTAGTATATTGAGCGTTATGCGATTAAATTTTGTATTAAACTTAAAGACAACGCAACAGAAACATTCAATAAATTGAACATTCAATAAATTGATACAGTGATCAAGATTTATCCAGGGCACAAGTTTTTTTAAAGGCATTTTTGAATTTCTGTAAAATCGTCGAAGATGAAGCTCGTTCTGGAAGACCATGCACTGCAAAAACTGAAGAAGATGTCGAAAAAGTAGAGACTCTGATTAGATTTGATCGTCGCTTGACAGTTAGAATGATTGGTAGTGAACTAAATTTAAATCATCAAATTGTTCACAACATTTTGACCCAGAGTTTGGACATGCGAAATATTTGTGCGAAGATGGCTCCAAAGAATCCCACGGAGGAGCAATAGGGGTGTGTGTGTGTGTGTGGACTTCCTTAAACGGGTGGAAACTGAATAAAATCCACAGATTTGAGTCCATGTAACTTTTTTCTCTTTCCAAAGATATAAAATCACTTCGTCATTTTGGAATCGTAATCATCATTCAGAAGGTTGTAATCGACCAACCGAAAACAGTTTCAACAGAAGAGTTCCAGCATTGTTATCAAGAGAAGGAACAACGCTTCCGAAGTTGTATAGCTTCTCAAGGGAACTATTTTGAAGGAGATAATGTAAATTTACTTAATTTAATGTAATAAGTGAAATATAAACATTTTTATTTAACCAGTCTCATTACTTTTTAGACACATCTTATATATACGATTATTGTGAACTATAGAAAAATTTTATTGTAATTGCATGAGATACATCACTGTGCTGAATCTTTATATCATTTCATGCGTATTTCATATCTTTATCTTATGATTCTGTTGAAAGTATACATGATAAACGAATATCCTTACAAGTTCAACGTTATTGTACACTTGTGTCTCCCATGATATTAGGATACATATGGGCATCGGATTTATGAGAATTTGACGAAGTGTAAATGTCATATCCCCTATGTGTCATATGCCCTATGACCAGAAGCAACTCCACTATTCACAAAACTGTAATAATGGCCCATATAAAGATAGCTCAGAAAATAAAATCAGTCAGTCTTTGAACCTTCAATTTGCATCTTCATTCTGTCCGAATCTGTTTCTCGACGCGCATCTGTTTTTTTCTTTTTTAGCAATTCAACCGGACTCCCACCGTGACATTAATTAGACATTCATACAGCAGTATTCACACCATAGTAAAAGAAAAGATTTCTATTATTGCGATAATAGTGTAATATTTTTTATGAAAAGCCACACGATTTCGAATATTGTAATTAAATATAACAGTATTTCAATAAGCTAATACAACCTTTTATATTTCTATTAATTCAAAGAATTCTAGATCTCTCGCAATTAATAACAACGATAAAGTAGCATACTGTTGTATAAAAGATATATCTCACCAAGAATAATATTTAATATAAGTGTTGTATAACACGCTACAATAATTGTGAAATACTAGTTTATTAAAACATCAATCGAAACTTTTAGGTTATAAAGAACATTTAAAAAACGATAAACAAATATCTTTTTAAATATTTTACCTCTTTTCCTAACAGTGTATGTTAAATTCATAAATTTTTAAAAATCGCTTACAGTATTTTTCCATATATATATCGCGATCTGAGATGTTACACTAGAGAGATGAAATTGACAACATTTAATGCGGGTCCATGTTCACATGATAATGAATGTATGAGATTATATATATACGATTGGTGTACCAAAATTATCTGTATAGACTATCACAGCTAGATTCTGTACCTTTGGATAGGCGGAGATCTTTTTCAAAAATAACCGGTGTTCTTAAGGTCGAAGTTTTTCATTATTGCATCGTGACCTACTCATCGAAAGAATAAAAAGTCTCCAAGAAACCATGGGTCGGAAATGACTCGTTCTCCTGAAAAATGATTACATTTATCCAATTATTATTCAACTCGCCATATATGGGTATATATATACACACAGTCGCGCCGGTATTTAAGTTGACACCGGCAAATTTGAAGGGTACGTTGTGTTTTATTTGCTATGGTTACGTTTTTACATAACTTAAAAATCTTTTGTTTTTTGTCTACATTAAGTGTGGTTAATGCCTTAGTTGCCTGCAAACAGCTGAAGCATTAGCATTATAAGAAACAAAGTTATTGTACATTTAAGCATTTTTTGTCAAATATGGACCTGACGGAAAATAAGTTGACGCAATAGACCTTTTATTTATGAATGAAATATCATTATCTTTTAATTATTTTTTAATTTCATTAGTAGGTTAATGATCCGTAGGTTATTTTCACACATTTTTTTCTTGACAATAAGTACTTTTTATTTACAGTATGCCAAAAGCTAGAGAGCTACAAGTATCCGACAGGTTACACATTTACGAAAGAAGAATGGAAAGAAAAAGTTTGCAACAAATTGCACATGAGTTTAGAATATCAAAAGAAGGTGTTAGAAAGATATGCCAAAAATTACAAAAGACAAGTAAACTTGAAAATTCGGTGAGATCGGATAGAAAAAGGAATACAACTGCTCCCGAAGATCGGCTAATCACTGAAGAAGTAAAAAAAAATTCGTCCATTACAGCACAACAAATTAAAGAAAATTTTTATCTACCAATATCGATCACGCAAATCAAATCTCGCATTAATGAAAGCAATATTTATGGACGGATATCTAGAAATAGACCATACATTTCAAAAATGAATGCACTGAAACGTCTAAATTTTGCTAAAGAACATTACAATAAGCCGATTTGATTTTGGAAATCAATAATTTGGAGTGATGAATCGAAATTTGAATTGAATTCAAACAAAAGGAAAAAATATGTATGAAGGAAAAAGAACGTCTCTTTCAAACAGACATTAACACCCACTGTCAAATACGGTGGTGGGAATATAATGAGGGTTGCTTCAATGACACCCAAGTAGGAAATTTATCTATTACTGATGGAAGACTGACTGCTGCCAAATATATTGAATGAAAATTTATTTCAATCAATTGAAAAATTTGGAGTTGACAGGGCCTATTTTTTTCAACATGATAACGACCCGAAACACACAGCAAGAATAGTTAACAAATTTTTCGAAGAAAATAGTACTTCCGTGCTCCCTTGGACACCTCAGAGCCCGAATTTAAATCCTATAGAGTATCTATGGGATGAACTTGAGCGACAAATTCCAAAAAATCAGAGATATACAAAATCGAAATTCATTACAGCCATAAAAAGCAAGTGGAATGAAATTACGGCAGATACACTGAAAAAATTAATAAATAGTATGCCTCGTCGCTTACTAGAAGTTATTAAAGCCAAGGGATATCAAACCTCTTATTAATTAATTTAAAATTCATTATATTTTACATTGCATCTCATAGAAATATTTATCGTCAACTTAATTACCGTTATGATGAAATACAAAAATTTATTATTTTTACTTTGTTTTATTTATTGTTTATGTTCATTCACTATGTATCGCCTCTGTTATTGTTGTGACAATGAAATAAATGTCTTCTATGTTCCCAATTCAAATATAATTTATAAATTTTAGAGTTTAAATTTCCCGAAAAGAGTAAGCGTTAACTTAAATACCGACGCGACTGTATATATATATATATATATATATATATATAAAATATATTTTGCAATAGAATAGGCTCTGCCGATTGATGTCATATTGATGTCGAGATGAATTCGGCACTCTATAGGCTGCGTAGTTATAGCAACATTGAAAAGTCCAATACACAGAACTGGGCTGTTAGCCCATAGTTTAAGATCTTTTTAAAGTCACTGCATAATACACTGTTGCATTCGTCTCGGTATCAACAATAACGTTATGATATCAAAAACATATGGTATAATTTAAAAAGGTGACCTTGACTTTTTACGTAAAAATCATTTCTTGAGATTTAATAACATGGAAACATGTAGCCTATCAAATACCAAAGAAATTTTCTCTGAAACATTTTTTAATTGCACTATCAGAAGTGCCTAAAAACTGGTGACATATCTTAACGCGGACACCCTGTAGAGGCAGGTACACAAGCACGTCTTTTACGGATAATACGGCAAGATGGTGCTGTTTTGTGGACCCGTGGAAGAAATATTTGACGAAAAAATTGAGTGAATACAATAGCAGAACCTATTCCATTGCAAAATATAAACATTTATGGCGAGTTTAATAAAAATTGAACATATGTAATGATTTTTCAAGAAAACTAGTCATTTCCGATCGATGGTTTCTTGGAAACTTTTTATCCTCTCGATGAATAGATCACGATGCAATAGTAAAAAACTTTGAGAAAACCAGTCAAGGACAAGTTTGCACGTTATTTTTGTAACAGATCTCCATCGATCCAAAGGTGCAGAATCTAGTTGTGATAGTCTGCATACATAATTTTGGTACACCTTGTACTGTATAGCTGTGTAATCAAATCTTTCTTGTGCAACTTTTACGATCAATGTTAGAAAGATTCAAAAGCTGTTCTTTTAGCTGCCTCCGTATTTACACATATTTTAACAATTACACGTAATTAAAAGATGTTAATAATCTTCATTGTATCTACGATTGACAATTTAAAGGAATTTTGAAATTTCTTCAAATTTTATTCAAACAGAAGCGTTCGATCAAAATACTACAAACGTAGATATCAGTGATTCTTTTCTGTTGCAACGATTCATTAGTTATTTCTCTTAATCGAACAACATTTGGTCCGCAGAGATAGGTGTTTAATAATAAATATAGTCGTTTACCATTATAATGCGCTGATAAAAAATACCTACATGTACATAGTATAATGGCATTATAAGCATGTAAATGTTGCGCGTTACAATCTCTTGTTTCCTATCGAAAGAGCCGCATTGAAATTATTAGTTGAAAAAAAAAAAAAAATAATAAGAAACGATCCGTTGAACGAGGATGGAAGTTATTTATGTTCGCCAAGCCATTACTTTTTTATATACGCGACCACGTAAATCTAGCCTTTTTCTGATTTTGCAAAAAAAAAAAAAAAAAAATAACGGATTGTGCTACGAGCATATTGTGATGTTTGCAAGCGCAGTAGGATTATCTACGTATGTGCCTAAGACGTCCAAGAACTGATCTTTCGTGTTACGTTTATATGTCCTATAACAATATGCGTAATCCTGTTTATCGTAAACAGAATGAAACATTTTTTCGACAAAAGTTCTGTTAAGAGAATTATGTAAGATACTAAATCATATACAACGATAGAGAAGAAAAGATTCTATCCACTGAATAGTGAATTTCAATTGTCAAAGAGGTATATAATTACTTCTGGCTTATATTCAAAATATATATTTATTCCTTGTTGCAAATTTGTGTATAGTAATTACCGCTATATAGATTCACTGTTTAAATGTTGTAATTTTAAAGAATAAATTTATCATTTAAAGAATAATTCATTTATTGAAGTATTCTTCTCGTGTGTTGAAATCCGAACGTTAATAAAATATATTTATTATTTAAACATATAGTTAGCAGAATTTATAAAAATATAAATTTATTTATTTCGTATAATACAAAGTATTAAAATATTCATTAATACTAATTTGATTTAGACAGAACTTAGTACAGTATTTTGATTTAGACAGAACTTTAAATTTTTAAATTTAATCGTGATGGGAAAATTTCGTAGTTTGTTCGTACCATGCAGAATTTGCATGGTAATACTAAAATTATCATGGTTTAAAATATTAAAATAATATAATGTGCTTCGTTTATAGATAATATGATCGCACTACTATCTATCATTCCTTTCTTTTTCTGTTTCGTAAATTTTCTGCAAAATCATTCACACAGTTTGTCTACCGACATAAGTACTATCAGATTTACGTCTCTAAAGTTATTGCAAATAAACATGTCTAAGTCAAAGTTATTCTCATTTTTTCAACACTTTAAAGTGTTTCGTTAACATATTTACATAGTACAATTACACAATAAATATTTACAAATATTACAGTACAAGTAGAAATGTTACAGTGCGATTACTATTTGTAAAAACGGTGATACGTTATTAAAAGTACTAAGATCCACTGAGGTACCGCCTACGAATATTTTTAAAATAATATTGTTGGTTCGACTGACCGTAATTCCGGCAGCTTCCTCTAATGTTCTATTAGTAATAGATAGAGATTCTGATAAATCTAGCACCCTCAATTGCGGCGCGGACTTAATAAGATTAATTATCACTCTATCCATAAATTTCGAACGGCGACATTCTATTCTTTTTAAATTGGATGCGTCACATAGATGCACTTTAGTCACTCTTGGCATGTCGTTCATTATTAACACTTCTAACTCGGAAAAAGTTGCTATAGCGGCCATGCCATAGTTTGAAATACCAGAACATGCTGCAACAGACGAGATATTGAGCATATTATTATATAGTGAATTACTTCCGTATGATATCTGACTTACTGGAAATGTCTAGATATGTGAGATTCTGGCATGTCGTTACCAGACTAAAAAGAAATTCGTCCGTAATTACTTTGTTCTCACTGACTGTCAGAGCTTTGAGGTTGGATAATAGCGTAATATGTAATGTGTCTGTCGTTAGGAAATATGATGTAGATGGAACATGACAAATTTTTAGTGTTTCTAAATTCTTACAATATGTGCCGAGAAATCGAAAGATGTTACCGGATATACAATCACATTCATTTATCGTAAACGCTTTTATTCTTTTTAGTTTAATAATTGCCTGAAAAATATTAATTACTCGATCAATCTTTATGAAAGGCAGTGAAAATAAACTGAATGCTTCACCTCTAACACACAGATTTCTTCAAGGTATTGACAACAGTCTAGAACGACTTCTTCTATTGTGTCGGTTGGTAAATGCAATAAGCACCGTCCGGTTATTGGAGTAAGATAGGCTTCAAAATATCGTAACTTTGGATTCATTTGGAATAATTTTTTTAAATCTCTATCGCATGCGTAAGTGACCAAACCAACACTTAATTTTGTAATATTGTGGCAGTTATCGATGAATGGACGGATACCAGATCGCGAAACGCAAAGACCAGTGATATTTATTATTTCTAAATTACGGCACAATTTTCCGATGAGAGTTACTGTGTATTGATGTAGATAATACGGCACAAAGGACAAATCTACTTCATTTAAATATGAACCACATCGTAATAATATTTCACGAAGTATACATAAACTAATTTTTTTTCTCTTTCTGTCAGCTAAAGAGCCCCACATGGAATGCCGTAAATCCAGTCTTTTCATGTTATACCAGGATTCTTTAATTAATGCTTTCCATCTCTTGCACACTACAATTGTTGAAAAGATTCTGTGTACACTTACATAAATATACATAAATATCTACTTTATATATTTTAAAGCAATATTAATACTGTAAGAACAAAAATGAATGTACTTACCTCTCTCTATTCTGATCCTATCTATAATTGGCAAATGACTAAAAATGTGCATCAGACAGTCGTCATTTAATTTGTGGATACTAATTTCATTTTCTCTGTAACCCTGATTGCATGTAACATCATTTGACACCTTGTTAGATTTTGATTTATGTTTCTTTACGTTTTTTTTACGTTTACTCTTTACATTCTTTCGTTGAAGACAAGGATTAGCTGCCAGAATTTTTAAATTTCTACCGTGCAATATTACTCTTCCAGCGTTTCTGGCACTATAAATCATCGTATAACGTATGGTTTTCTATCTATAGTTACCATATCGCCGCATTTATTTAAATTAAGGTTTACCTTATAGCTGCTTTTAAACTATTAAACGTAACAAGTGCATAGTTATTTCTGTTTCCTGGATTCCTTCGTAAGAAGCAACACTTCACTTCTCCATACTTGGAGAATAATTTTATAAGATCACTGAATGTCGTCTGAGAAAGAACATTTTAGCGTTAGATTTACATGCTCAAAGAAAATATTGTATAGCATTAAATGTATATTCATATATATACAAACCCTCCGTGCTAAGTTGCTGACAAATATTTTTCTATCTGTCACACCATCGCCGGTAGTAGATGTGAAAATGGTAAAACCTACAATCGATGAATGAAAAATATGAAAAAGAGAGCAACGTCGAAGCACATGAATTTACCAAACAATTCATATTTTATTACTGGTCTTTTCCATGACGTAACAGCATTCACTTTTCCTGTCTTTATTGTTCCATAATGTAGCACCATTTGGCCAATGTTTTGCCGTGTTCCACGTGTTTTGGGTCACCTGACCCTTTAATCATTTTCGTATCACATCCTGTCGTATCGACTTAGGCAAGAATTATACTATAGCGCTCCTGGTGCTAGTAATTAAAATCAGAAAATATGGACAGTGTTGCTGTTTCCTCATTGAAAATTATTTATTGAACTGAATCCAGTGACGAGCAAACATACATATGTATGTACATACAGTAATCATAATAAATAAACGCGAATTTAGTAGACATTGTTTATGAAAGTCTATCATCGTATAGAGTGATTTTTCACAGAAGTACATTGTTTTTTTAAAGATCGAAGTTTTTCTACGTGCTGTTCTGAATAAAAAATAAAATATTTTCTGATTGGTTCGCGCTACACACCGAATTCAAAGTGCTTTTTCGAATCATATTAAGAATTATCATCGATGTAGAAGAAGAATTAATATTTGAAATTGGCCAGTGACTTCGCGGGTGCATTGAATTTTACATACACAGTTGCTGTGACTGGCTGGCATCGCACGCCGAATTAAAAATTCTTTTATATTGAGAATTATATATGATATACAGGAAAAATTAATATTTTCAAACGGCAACTGATCGTCATTGGGCCAGTTGAATTTTACAACGCAGTCTGATTGACGCCGAATTTATAGTTCTTTAATCGTATTAAAAATTACCATTAATCCCAGATAATTAATCTCTTATTAAAATAAAAATAGTACTTATTGGTGCAAACGAAACAAGCATTTACCGGAATCCAAAGACGTTATCCGTTTTGGATGTATATTCCCAATAAACGCAACAAATATAAGACAAAAATAGTAATGATGGTTGATGTCAAAACCAAATATGCCTTAAAAGCCATATTTACATAAAAAGATTTACAACAGCTACAAGCCTCTCGCATAATATTTTGTGTGTACCGGAACTCACGAACCAATCCATAGCTCAGGCAGGATTAGTTCATTTCTCTTCCTCTATCTACAAGCCGCCTTATAAACTTTCCCTTATTGGTACGAGAAATAATATCTAAGAAGCGACAGACTCCATTGCGTTAAACGCCAGGAAAATTTTACAATTAAGACCAATTTTTTAAAATAGCATCATTGACTAATAGGACCTTAGTCAATGACGATGAATTATGCAATAATATAATTATATTAAATGGGCCCAAGTTGTAAGAAATTTATTTTATTATCATATTAATTTCTAAATACTTTCAATTTCAAAAAATTGTTTCCAAATAAATTTTCTTTATGATTTATTATCAGTAAATATTTTAATTCGTTTATAATATGTTTATAATGTATTTGTTTAGTGTTATGATATAACATAATATTTTCGTTTATAATGTAATGCCACAATTCCTCGTCTATATGTCTCTGTACCCAGGAAAATATTTGCTTGGATAAAGGGGGTCGCCAAATAGAAAAGTTTGAGGAGCCTGTTAAACAATAGTTTTTCACCTTGTTTTGACAATTCAATTACAATAACACTACGTGTAAAGGACTCAAACACAGACTGCGTTAAGGCAATACATATTTTTGGTCAGTCGTGTGTATCAGGATGATCGCGAGACTGTTTTTTTTTTATATTATAATATTAAAATCTTTTTCAAATAAAAACATACATAGAGAAACGATCAGCATTGCTATGAAAATGTGATTAGCTATGATATTTCTTTTTACACAGCCACAGATTTTCGTAGAACATTTAGCAAGAACAGCTATATGATATTAGCTATGTATCGTTTTCTTGCATACCCGGATTTTCCAAATAATTTTTCACTCTCTCATTAAATCTATCAACATTACCACGATATTGATCTCTCATTCTTTGTACTTGTGGCTTTCTTCATTACCGATGTTATAAAGCTTGATTTGTTCGTTCGAAACATCAGTTTCATTTTCTTCAAAAAAGAAACAATTTTTTTTAGACAAATTTTGTAAAAGAAAGAAAAATAAAGGTAAGTAATTACTTACATTTTAGTTTTAAGTATTCGTAACATAAAGTCTGTGTATAGTGCTAATTTATGAAAATAATTATATTACAGTCAAAATTAAGTTTGTCGCCTCTTAATAATAGTCATGCAAATGCTCGAGAAAGCGTTCACATTCAATTATATAAATAATTTTCGGTATAGCAACATATCGCATACAGACGAAAAAAGTAATTTGTAAACTTTTATGATTGTATCATGAGTTTTACATCCTTGGCTATGTACAATACAATATGTATTAATAAATATGAATTAACAAATATTAATAAATATGTATTAATGAATATTTTATGTAATATATATGTATTAATAAATAATTTTAAATTTCGTTTAATAGATCGAAACCTCCTTTCAAATAGTGTTCAATTTCTTGCAAACTACATTGAATATTGGAATCAAATTTCTCTATGGACGTCATCGATAGCATCATCTTTGAAATGTATGCTTACAGAATGCAAATTACTGGCGTGATAGTTTAAAATTAATTATATTTTTTTAATATATATGAAGCGTTTAGTTCCATCATTTCACTGCAACGTTTTAGACCCGGATAAAACCAGATTGTTTTCAACTTGCTTTTACTATTTTCACTCGTGTCTTCTTTCTTTTTTTCTTTTAAATTAAATCATGCTCTTGAAGATTAGAGACCACACTTTACAACAAATTTGTTACAGAATTTTTATTCCTCATTTTATTACGGTTAAACGACGAAATATTAAGGTTTTTCTTCAATTTCTGTCATTCAACGCAAATGTTTAAAGTTCGATTAAATAATGAAAAATTATCATACAGCTAGTTTTAATTCATTGTAAAAGAAATATTTTAATTCATTGTAAAAGAAATATTTTTAATGTTTCACGTCATGATTAATCGGTCACAACGAAAATTTTTCAGTGATTTAAAAACTTGTTCTCTTCGGCAAAATGTTTGAATTTTTATAATTTTCGAAAAGAAAAATATACTTACTTTTACACACTGCTTCATTATTTCAAAATAAATATCTTTAAATGAAATAAATTCAAGATGTTGAAGTGAAGATTTCACTCTATAAAGTAAAATCAAGTTAATTGATCTAGAATTTTTTTTCATGAAATTAAAACAGTTTAATATATTGACAATTTTTCATCTAGCAGTCTGGTATGAATGTTTTCATTTTTTCTTTAAGAATTTCTCATGATGTTTGTGCATTTGATCTAGACTAGAGTTTTTTATTTTTTGTTACGAGTTAACGTTTGGGACGTATTGAGTTTAAATTAAAGATTACAACGCCAACGGTGAAATACGCAATTCCTACGATTCTCGAACGATAATCGATATTTCTGAGGACTGATTTTTAAACTTGAAGTATGGTGGAAAAGAGCACACTTCATCTGTAAAGAAAAAATCATCCACACACACACACACGCAGAAGTTCTTAAATAAAAATTTAAATCAATAGCTGTTGGATGTGTTGTGAATTTTTAAGATAGGACTTGCACTTTTATCTTCAACTCATGACTTATACTTTTCAATAATTAAAGAAATTATAGAATCTGAACATTTAAATAGAATATATGCTAAAATTTATTTATAACTTTATACCAAAATTTAATTTCAATTCTAACCATTACAAATATTATAACCTTGTATTACCTTTTTACTATATAAATATGCTTTTACTCCTATTATACCTTTTTCTATTCATTTGTTGATTCTCTAACCACATGCTGCGTGATTTTTCACAATTCCAATGCTAAACTCAACAATAGTTAATTAAGAATTTACGTATTTAATAATTAAAATAATAATTTTACTACGTAAATTTAGTACAATAAAATTTCTTAGTTTAAAGTGAGTGTTTTCGTTCTTTTTTAAAAATTTGTCATGAATTTTGTGTGTATGATTGATCAGAGTTTTCTTTTAAAATTGTTTATTTGTAGGTATGACCATAACTGGTTCCCTAACGAAATAATAGATCAGTTAAATTATATCTATATCTCAATTCCTACATTTAATGTTTAATTTCCAAAATTCAATTTCTATCTGAAATTAATTTTACTTTAACTTAAAATTTATTTTAATCTGATTACACGCATAGAGCAGGAGAGGGGTATGCTTAGGTAAAAACAATTCATTCAGAGATAAAGCTCATTAACCCATTCAGTCATGCTGTATTTATATCCTTATTGTATATTTATACTCCATTATACTCAATAGTATATTTGTACTTTATATCCAAAGAAGAGAAAAGAAAAGTTATATCCTCCGTTCCAGTTTTCTGCACCAATCCACATTCAACATTACAGGGTGACCATAAAGTCTCTTTATAACTTCAAAAATTTATTAGAAAGGCAAATGAAAAGGCAGATAAGTGAAGTTATTACAAAATAAGACGTATATATTTAAGTTATTTTGCCTCATTAATATAACTCTATATGTGCACTGTTAGTTGTACGAAACACATCAGGACGTTACTCGACTTCTTACACGATCGATGTTTTCTTCAGATGTTCTTGGTCGTCCACATTTCTCTTTATCGAGCATTGTCCCTGTCTCCATTAATTTG